ACACCAAGCTGAAAGAGCAAGGTCAAGAATCCGAGTTTCATTCTGTCATCACCCAACAAAAGGTCGTCCACTTGGTGTTTAGTAAGTATATTATTTTAATAATAAGATGCTAACCTTAAAATTTATGTTTTCTGTGATTTCAGGTTGAGGAGCTTGAGAGGAAACTGAAAGAGCAAGAACATAACTCAGAATCTATTGTACTTCGTCAAAAGGTCCTGCTCCTTTCTATCTTTTAGTCTAACAAATCAAATCCATATTTCATTTCAAGAAACTTGCCAGGTATCATGAAAGATCAATTTAAGTATTTTAATTGGCGCGGATCACATCAAGAGTTTTTTTTCTGCAAAGCTCACTTTGACATTCTTCTCCTGTGTTCTTGAAGAAGTCCTAATTTATGCTTCTCTGATCCATTTGATTTTAAACTTGTATCACAGTTTGAGACATTTATCAGGATAACATTCCTTGAATTTTTGTATCATTCTATTTCCGCCTATCCAAATCTATTGGCTTTGCGTAAACCGTTATCTGGCCATATACTTGATGATCAAATTTCTAACATTCCTTATCTGTGGCAAGATTTTGATATAAAATTGTTGACATTAATAGCTAAAAAATGAGCTAAAGTGCTACTATCTTTTCCTTGTGTAATGGTAGATTAATGAGCTTGAAGACAAGTTCAGGGTGCAAGAACAACAGTTGGCATGTACCCTAGCTTCAGATTCTGCTAATTCATTAAGATCCACTCCAACTGAAGATAAACGCTGTGTTAGAGACGAGACTATGAATGAGGCTGACCGCTATATTCTGAGGAGTTCAAACTCAACTAACCGCCAAATGAGTCGGGGGTCTAACTTGCTAAAGGGAAATGACTTCCTTCATGACATAAGAAGGAAAAGATTATCCAGAAATAGCGAAACAGAGAACATCATTGTATCATCTTCTCTCAATGAAAAGAAGGCCAGGCAATCTGACCCACCGAAACCATTTCCCAGGGTTACAAAAACAGCAAACCCGGCAACAAATGCTCCACGACGCTTGACTCATATCCGAACAGACAGAGATCCCGTTCAAGGAGTTAAAGAGATGGATAGCAAGAAAAGGATCTGGTCAAGATAGCAAGGTGAAACTACTCGAAGCCAACTGGTAATTGTGTTGTCTTTTCAATTAACTCCTATCCTTCACTGTGTAGTAGATTACTAGTGTGCTTGAGGTCAAACTAAATGTAATCCCCCATATGTATGTTATATTCTTGAGGGGAAATCAAATGTAACCCATATTCTGGGAATGCTAAACTGTGACAATATTATTCTTGCTGACCAGATTCAGTTACCTGACTAAGTAATGTATGTTTTGATTTTGTATTTTGAAAATTACAATTTAATCAACTCAAGTTCCAACTCGAATAAACAAAGGTATAACTCAATGACATTGTGCTGAGATCCATTATGACGACTTNTTGATTTTGTATTTTGAAAATTACAATTTAATCAACTCAAGTTCCAACTCGAATAAACAAAGGTATAACTCAATGACATTGTGCTGAGATCCATTATGACGACTTGTTAGGATCAATCCCATGTGTTTTAGGGTTGACTTCGTTCCATTTAAAGAGACATTTTTCTCGGTAGCTCGCTTCGCTCAAGATATTTGGGACTAATAGATCACACAATGGTGCACAGTTAACTATTGACCTTCCATATCAATTGGTTATAATTTTATCTTCTTTTCGAAATGTAATCAAATTGGTATTATAAATTTTTTCATATTTGTTTCAAAAGCGTTATACATCGATACCACATGGTGAAATGTTGAACAAATGATGGAATATCAACTAGCATATTATACTTAAGACTCAAGTTATACCAACCGCTTTATGTTATCCCTTAAACATTCCACTTTTTCATATTGCACCTTAAACAAAAGGTTCAATGTTGGAGCAAGGTAAAATTCAAACCAATAGTTTAAGCACCCAGTTTTTAAACAACCGAACATACGATTACAAATTTGGAAAACAACTTTATTCAGTTACAATAAGTTGATTGTTGTAGTCCAAAAAAACTTGTTCAAACACCAAAAGTAGAGGACAAAATAAAACAATTGGATACTAAAGTCTCTGGATTTTCATTCTCATTTTTCCAAGTCTCGTTGATAATGAGGATAAATATGCAGTGATTAGGCAGCCTTCAGTGTGTTCCCAACGTCAATCACGAATCGATATCTAACGTCAGCTTTCACAAGACGTTCCATAGCAGTGTTCACATAGTCCATTGGAATAACCTCAATGTCCGCTGTTATGTTGTGTTCAGCTGCAAAATCAATCATTTCTTGGGTCTCCTTCATCCCCCCAATGCCACTTCCAGCCACTAACTTCCTCCCTGTTATTCCATAAACCAATGTAGAGTAGAAAGGATTAGATAGAAAACCATAGAACATGAATGGTGATGACAAAAAATGCAAGTACTCTGTTAGCCAAAGTTCCCATTGGTAATGGTCAAATACTTGCCCATGAGTAAAGGAAATACTGGTAGCTCCAATGGCTTCTCTGGTGCACCAACCATAACCAGCTTCCCATGAGATTTCAACAGACCGAGCAATGGCAGGAGAGGATGAACTGCAGAGACTGTGTCGATGATACCATCCATTGTGCCCATAGCAGCCTATATATATTCCACATATCAGTATGAGAATTAGTATAAACTTGAGAGTCTCCACAAAGTTCAAACTGAAACATATTCAAAATAATGATAACCTGCATCTGATCTGGATNGTATGAGAATTGGTATAAACTTGAGAGTCTCCACAAAGTTCAAACTGAAACATATTCAAAATAATGATAACCTGCATCTGATCTGGATCACGGCTGACCAAAAATGAATCAGCACCAATATGTTCAATGGCCTCCTCTTTCTTGCTTGGGGATGTACTAATGACTGTCACCTTGACCCCCAAAGCCTTTGCAAACTTCACACCTACATGTCCCAATCCACCTAAACCCACTACACCCACATGCATTCCAGGCTTGTCAAGTCCATAATATTTCAAGGGNGTGGGCTGGTTTAGCATATGGTTATGGGCTGGTTTGGCATATGGTTATGGACTGGTTAAACTGGTATGGATTGAGGTTGCTGCCTTTGTCGTGGATTAAGGTTGTGGTGGACCGGTATGGACTGGTTTGTCTGGGATGCGGCTAGGGGCTGGTATGGACTTNTAACAACTAAAATATCAGAGTAACCTCCATATGTCGGAGTTCCATCATAGTATGTGGAATCATACGTAAGGATGAATTTGGGACAATAATTTTCAAGATCATTGGCGCAGTTGTCACACGAGTGACATGATCCAACCATGCACCCCACTCCAACTTTATCTCCAACTTTGAACTTTTTTACCTTGCTACCCACTTCCGTTACTTCACCCACAATCTCGTGCCTGCATCGATCAAATTTTAAATTCACAAACGTGACAAGTAAAACTAACATAATTCATCATCTATCCTAATGTAAGTAAAAGACTAGAAACTGACTATTTTTTCGCATGCCATGTTACTTGACATAGCAGATTAGTATGGAAATTAAGCATAAAGTTTGTGAAGAGTTATTTTAGAGATTGCTACATCAGGAACATCAATCTTAATCTTTTATAGTAACTAATATTTACTATTGTCCCAAGAAAAAGAGGTTTTCCATTAGTAAAATTCCATCACCCTGCTTCCTGCCAACCTATATCTTGATAATTCCAAAAATACAATCACCACATCAAATGCTTCGCTTTTTTTTTTTAATGAGAGAACTATCTAAGTAGGGCCAAATTGGACCTAAGCATGCAACCACCCACTAATAAGTAAACCTGGTACGACAAATGACTTAAAAAACATTACTCTAAACAATCCGATGTTAGATAGTCTTTCTTTAAAAATGGTATATAATTTAGGACAAGACTAGGGTACTCACTCGGTACCGTACACCTAAATTTTATAATTGTGATGGGTTTTTTATATAAGCTTTGAGATTTGTTTACTAAAAAAATTATACAACTTTCAAGATTTGAATTATAATTTTTTTGAATTAAGTTATAATTTTTGTTGTAATTGCGATTGATACTAAAAATATTATGATGGATTGTAACTTATCACAAAAATTATATATAAAAAAATCATAAAATTTGTAATGACAATACGGTAATGAATTTTTTTTTAAAACGTGTAATTACATAGTATCATTGTTACATTAAATCTTGATAGTTGTATAGAGAGAGAGAGGGGGGGGTGTTCAATCGTACCCGGGAAGGACAGGATACTGGGAAAAGCCCCATTCATTCTTGACACTGTGAAGGTCGGAGTGACAGATCCCACAATACAATACTTTGAATTTCACGTCTTCATCTCCAGTTGCCCTGTAACATCACAAATACCCAATACATGTTGGACGATTCTAACACTCATATATATTATTCTATAAAAATACATATATCAAGAGAGAGAGAGAGAGAATGTGATTATATTCAATTCATACAATATAATGAAGCGATCGAGAGACAGTGATTGAAGAAGATATATATAGAATACCTTCGGGAGAATTTGAAGGGAGAGAGGACACCGGATGGGTCTCTAGCTGCCCATCCGAAAGCTTTCACTGGGTGTTGTTCCTCTGGTGATTTCGCCATTGGTCGACAAGAAACGAAGTGCAGAGAGAGAGAGACAGAGGGAGAGAGTTACTTTGATGAGGCAAAGGGAAAGTAGCAAAGTCCTCTCTATATACTTGAGAATGGGCTAACGTCATTGATGACGTAAGATATTGACCTCCTTATTAGATATTTTGTTTTTCTCCCCCTTTATTGGGGTAAAATGACAGCTTGGGGTTTATGGATGACGTCATCAGTGACGTAAAATATTGNATTGTTACATTAAATCTTGATAGTTGTATAGAGAGAGAGAGGGGGGGGTGTTCAATCGTACCCGGGAAGGACAGGATACTGGGAAAAGCCCCATTCATTCTTGACACTGTGAAGGTCGGAATGACAGATCCCACAATACAATACTTTGAATTTCACGTCTTCATCTCCAGTTGCCCTGTAACATCACAAATACCCAATACATGTTGGACGATTCTAACACTCATATATATTATTCTATAAAAATACATATATCAAGAGAGAGAGAGAGAGAGAGAGAGAGAGAATGTGATTATATTCAATTCATACAATATAATGAAGCGATCGAGAGACAGTGATTGAAGAAGATGTATATAGAATACCTTCGGGAGAATTTGAAGGGAGAGAGGACACCGGATGGGTCTCTAGCTGCCCATCCGAAAGCTTTCACTGGGTGTTGTTCCTCTGGTGATTTCGCCATTGGTCGACAAGAAACGAAGTGCAGAGAGAGAGAGACAGAGGGAGAGAGTTACTTTGATGAGGCAAAGGGAAAGTAGCAAAGTCCTCTCTATATACTTGAGAATGGGCTAACGTCATTGATGACGTAAGATATTGACCTCCTTATTAGATATTTTGTTGTTCTCCCCCTTTATTGGGGTAAAATGACAGCTTGGGGTTTATGGATGACGTCATCAGTGACGTAAAATATTGACTTTACTTATTAGAGTTTTTTATTTTTTGGTGGTAAAATGACATATTAGGGTTTATTTTTGTCTTTTTGTTAGGAAAAGATTCAAATGCACAACTTATACTAAGTTGTCCAACAGATTTGATTCCATTAAAAAAACTTACTAGTCAATTCAACTGTAATTGATTAGTTAGAGTAAACATTTTTTTTTAATTTTTATAAGCATTATTTTTGTTTTTTGAGAAAGAAGTTTATAAAGATTTATTTCTCATTAATATTCTAATCTTTGTATAGATTATCTTTGTCTTTAACCCGAAATCCCTAATTATTGAACCAAAAAAAGACTAAACTTTATTTGACTCTCTGTATTCGGAGAGCCCAACTCATTTTTTATTTTATTTTTAATAAATAAAAAAAATAAGACATATACATTCTTCATTAAATGTTATTAACTATAAACATGTTTTTTTACTAAAATTGAGAGCCCATTGAAATTGTTTAAAATATTTTACTCTTTATTTTAAATTTTTATCAAATATATTTTTTTAAATATAGAGTATTATTATAGATGCTCTATGGGAAAGAGACAAATGGATGAGCAAGAGCTTTCCGTCCTTTATTTTATAACTTTTTTTTGTTATGTAAACTTATTTAATTACAAAGCATGAATTCATCCGATCAAATTCCGTTAAGCTGTCGTATAACTATTTCTATCATTATTACCCATTTAATTAATTACTCATTTAAAATTTAACAACATTAGTTGAGCCCATTAATCGTTGATTTCCCATGAATCAAATTGAATAGGGTGGGATCATTGACGAAGAATTAACAACTAGATTTTCATCTTTGACAATTGCATTAGAGTAATGATATGTATCTTAAATTTGTAACATAAATTTGCATCTAAAATCAAGGAGAAGAGGGATTTTTTTGTATGGTCACCATGTTATTGCTAATAATACGTATAACTCTCTGAGGTGATTTAGTGGTTGAACTTGATTTTTAAAACACCCTCTAAAGGTTAGTCATTATTATCCTTTTAGGGATATTCCTTTAATCCAACTCTAGTGACGGTGGTCAATCATTGAATTCGTGAGAATAGTCAGTACAAGTTTTGACACCCCCGTATCCAGTATTTTAAAATTCGGCTCGACCCGACGGGTTAACCCGAAAAATAGGTGAATCGATGCCTGAGCGGGGCCGGTCCCTTAATTGAATCGGTCTAACAAATAACCCGCTTGAGAATCATTTAAACCACCCTAAAACCGGTCATTTTCATGAAACCTGAAAAACCGGTCCGATTTTCATAAATCCAACAAATCCATTGCATTGAAACTCAAACATAAAATATTAAAATTTAACTTCAAGTCCAAGCTTATACCAGGCCCATCTCATCCAAAAGAGTTGACGTCAAGCCATCAAGTCTTGACAGCAAGAGTAGCAACTTGAAAAACCAACACTTTGTCTTTTACTGGTGCACAGTCTTCATAACTCGAGTTTCCGATGTGGGATAGAGTGTGCACTTAAACTCACATTATTTCTTTGTTTATTAATTTTTCTTTTGATTTTTTAGGCATCATATTATTACTATTTAAGTATTTATACTAAATATTCAATATTTCTTAGTGAAAATATTTTATGCTCTATCAAATTATATCAATTATTTAAACAAATTAATGAATTGAGGATATTTTTTATTTTTTTATTTCATTTACTATAACATAAAATATGTTATTTTTTGTAACTATTATAATTTTTTAGCATATTTATTATTATTATTAATTATATGACCGGTTCGATCGATTGACTCACGGTTGAACCAGTAACCTATTGACTCGGTCTCTTTGCCAGGTTGGTGTCCGGGCCGGGTTTAAAAATTATGCCTGTATCAAATAAAAAAAATAATAATTGGTATAATCAAATCTTAATTTGTGAACTGAAAAATATTAAAAATTTAATTTGAGTTGTTAATTAAAAATATTAACATAAATTTAATTAATTAGACTGTTATTCAAAAAAAAATATCCGATCAAAAATAATCAATTTACCCATCTACTTACGTGGCACCCGACCTTTCTTCGGGGAAACAAAGATTAATAAGTTCATCATGTGCAGGGCGGTGCGAATCTTTCAGACGCAATTCTAATATTTTAAATAAAAAAGAAAAAGAATTCGAAATTATTTATATCAGTTGCCACCTACACCTTCTGGAACTTTTTAATATCCTAACCTTCTTTCTCAGCCAAACGTCACCCACTCCCTCTCTCTCCATGTTAACACTTTTCAAAAAAACAAAAAAAGAAAAAACTAATTTATCAAATTAATTATTAGTAAAAAACAAATATTCTCACCTGCACCTTTTGGCTGGCATGCATTGGTATTGTACCCACTACCCACTATCGTACTTGTGCTGACTAAAAATATTTTTTCAGCGTAATATTAACAAATATTATTATTGACAGTTAAATTATGTACCTTTTAAATAATAAGTTATAATTTTTCATGATTAATTATAATTATAGTTTTTTGTGATCGATTATAATATTTTTAAATTATAATTTAAAGCTTTAAAATATTGAAATCTGTTTTTTGGTACAGTATTAAAAAAAGTACCATATTTGGTACCTTTTTAAAAGTTGAGGTTTTTTTTTAAGACATTTCAAAGTAAAGTTAATAATTACGTATCCTGTAAATTGCAAGAAGGTTAATTGAAATATTAAGCCTTGAAAAATTGTATAAATTTTTGTTTTTTAAAATAATTTACGACAAAAATGTAGACACATTGGTGTAATTTAGTGAACTTAATCCTGTATGATTGATTGCATTCTATTTAATTAGTCACATCCATACTAGAGTACTATATATTAGTTTTAAATTGTTCACTTTTTTCTAATATTATTCTTCTGTCTTCTTTATTCTAAGCCCGTGGTTTGTGTAGACAATTCAACAAGAATACAATTGCAGCTCTTGTCGGTTGACATTGCCTCAGTGAGTGAGTTTGATTTTTTTAACGTGATTTGGGAGTTTGTATTAGGTCCCATTGCTGGGTAATTTTGCCATCGCGACTTTTTTAGGAATATAATAATTTTTAAACTCGAATTCATGATATATCTCTGATGAGTTTATAAATGCACATCATACGAAACATAGTTTTATACAGTTTTCTACTGGTGTTAATAAGTCTATGGATCATTAGTGTTATTGTGACCCCATGTTTTTAGATATTCGATTTCACATATTCCTGCCTCCAAGAATATTAAAGTTCCCAAATATTCTTAAGCATTGCGTAGAGGTAAATTCAGAGTTCAAAACCAGCAACTCAAATGTGGTGGCTGTCATTATTCTCTCAAAATTAACTTACAAGCACTTTCCAACTATATACGATCTCGCACACAATACAATACAAACACCATAATTTCTGAGGCCCACACTAGCAACGAGCCACGCAATAAATTGGTAAAATACTTGGTAGGTAGTCCTGGAATTTGTAGATCAGGGGGCAGCCAGGGTGTTTCCGACATCTATGACAAATCGGTATCTCACATCATTCTTATGGAGACGATCCATTGCTGTGTTCACATATTCCATTGGTATAATCTCAACATCAGCAGTGATATTGTGTTTTGCCGCAAAATCAATCATCTCTTGGGTCTCCTTTAATCCACCAGCTGCACTTCCTCCCACCATCTTTCTTCCTGTAAATCATTTGTTGTATAAATTCTAAAATGCCAAAGACCATAAGCGAAACATTAACTGAAAAAGTTCTTATGCATGGTACATGTTATTGTTCTGCATACCGAGGATAAGTAAAGGAAAGAACGATAGTTCATCCGGCTTGTTTGGTGCCCCAAGAAGAATAAGCTTTGAGTGAGACTTCAAAAGATTAACCAACGGCCTGATGGGATGAACAGCAGAGACTGTATCAATAATACCATCCAAAGTGCCCATAGCACCCTGTATTACATAATTGAAAGTAAGAACTTCAGTGTTCAGGTAATCCGTGACAAAAAAACTATCAAATTTCCTTTGATGGTCAGTTGAGATTATACCAGTCTTCAACCAGATGGCTTATTCGAAAAAAATCTCAATTAACAACCATAGGGAACACCAATTCGAGTAACTAAAAATAACATCAACCTGTAATAACACAAACAAATTGGTTACCTTCATTTGCTCTTGGTCACTGCTAACTAGAAACGAGTCAGCACCAAATTGAGTAATAGCTTCGTCCTTCTTGTTAGGGGAGGTGCTGATAACTGTCACTTTCAGCCCTAAAGCCTTTGCAAATTTCACACCCACATGACCAAGTCCACCAAGGCCTACAATTCCCAAGTGCATTCCCGGTTTGTCAAGACCATAGTATCTCAGTGGACTGTACACGGAGATCCCAGCACAGAATAGTGGAGCACAACCAACAAGTGGCAATTTCTCTGGAATACGAACCACGAAGTGCTCAGTTGCAACCATTTCATTAGAGAACCCCCCATNTAGTATCTCAGTGGACTGTACACGGAGATCCCAGCACAGAATAGTGGAGCACAACCAGCAAGTGGCAATTTCTCTGGAACACGAACCACAAAGTGCTCAGTTGCAACCATTTCATTAGAGAACCCCCCACATGTGCGGGTTCCATCATGATAAGTAGCGTTGTAGGTAATTATCTTTTCGGGACAGTAATTTTCAAGGTCATTGGCACAATTGTCACAAGAACCACATGACCCAACATAGCACCCCACTGCCACTTTGTCTCCAACTTTGACTTTTGTTACCTTGCTTCCTACCTCTGCAGCTACACCCACAATCTCATGCCTGAAGGGACAATGATCATAAGTTATAGCACAATCCAATAAGTCCANACCCCACTGCCACTTTGTCTCCAACTTTGACTTTTGTTACCTTGCTTCCTACCTCTGTAGCTACACCCACAATCTCATGCCTGAAGGGACAATGATCATAAGTTATAGCACAATCCAATAAGTCCGGACTTACTATGAATCAGTATTAGAAATGTTTACAAGTCCAAGGATTTGTCTTATAAAATTAAATTCCAATAGATTAGGATGATTTGGAAACAAAGTTAAAAAGATGTATTTTGTGCTCTGATGGACCATATTTTGTATCAAAAGGGAGGGCTCCACGTCACATGGGTGTATCATAATAAAACCCATAATTTCTATTGAGACAACACAAAACTGTCAGCCTTCCTGATTGACCAATTGGAGTCCAACACAACGTTTAATACCTACAAAGACACATATCCCAAGAAGGTATCAGTTCAGGGAATATGATTTCTCCAAGGTAAATAGCTCTCCATTTCTCTATAAAGATGGGTGAACACCCAAAGGTAAGGGGACTTCAAGTATGAGCACCTCGGCTCCATACTTCACACACACTTTTTACCATTTCTCTAACTTTACACACAAGCCTATTCATGTGTTGATCACAATACTGACTTAGGCATCAGAGGAGCCTCCTCTGGCTCAACGTCGAGGGTCCTTCTAACCTCTCTCTGATTTTACAGCTCATGGATTTTGTGATATTCGAAGACCAAGGGTGCACCTCAACACATTTTAGTGATTGTGCAAATTTTTGCCAACACAATTTGGTGCCGTCTGTGGGAAATGAAGCAGGTGTGTCCCCTAGATCTGTATATCAACTGGCTCGTGAGCCCTGCCCAAGCTAGAGATTACTGGTGTATCTCGTTCCCTCACATTGGTTCAAACTTTTATTGTTCGGTCTTTCTTACAGTCAAATTGTAGCACTCGGTCTGCCTTTCAAACTCACAGAAATACAAAATCACCGTGTTTATTGCATGGCCCACCATAAAGGCCTCTTCATGAATCTAGTTTGCCCCAAATCTTATTCTTGAAGTTCCAATACATTTATTTGGTTGGGGTGTTCAACGTACATGATCACCAAAGATAAGATTATTGGCTACAAGGAAAAGAACTAGCCCAACATCAACTTGCATGTTCAGAGGTCAGATGTAAATATTCTCGCAAGCAGAATCTGAGAGAATCTTGAATCGTCCAACCATGGACTTAGATTTCACAAGGTACGCTTTTATTTAAACATGACTTGAACATGATTAGAAAAGACAAGACTTATCGTCGAGGTCATCACCAGCCTGAGATTATCGAGGCCAAGGGATATATATGTTCGGGCCTTCTCTTATGACCCTAATGGGCCAAATTTACTCAATATTTCTTTAAGTGGACAGATTTATTTGGGCCATTTTTAAGGGTCAGCGGATGGGTCTTCCTCAGACAACACCCAACAATCCTTTTTTTGGGGATTCAGTTATTATCCTTCTCGGAATTTGAATATTATTATCTTCTTTGGATGCGATTGAGGTTCAGTTATAGTCGTCCTATTCAAGACTCGACTCTCTCAAGCGGCATCTTATGGTTATATTTGGTATTCTGTTATTTATCCCCTTAATAAGACATTTCAATAATGCTCGGCTCTCTTTGGCAGCATCTTATGGTTATGCTTGGGATTCAATTATTCTACCTTTGAATGAGACACCTCATTATTACTCGATGTGATGGGTTTCTTATATGTTCATTGTTATTAGTTGGGCCCACCATTGTAATGCCCTTATCCTTCTAACCTTATCCTTCTGATCAGGCATGAAAGTATCAATTACAATATCTGACAAACGCATTATTCCGATTATAGAGATTATCTTCGAGCTCTACATATATTGATCTTGGTATTCTATTCAGAATGAAAAAAATGCATTAGAACTTCATGCATGTTATTATCTATTTGATTTGGGCTTCATGATCACTTCGATGACATATGGTAGATCTCGACATATCTATACTAAGCTATATCTTATCAAAGGCAACATGAATATTCTTCGAAACTTTTATTCCTTTCCAGTATTACGAAGGAAATAAAAACTGGAGGGTAGTNAGCATCTTATGGTTATGCTTGGGATTCAATTATTCTACCTTTGAATGAGACACCTCATTATTACTCGATGTGATGGGTTTCTTATATGTTCATTGTTATTAGTTGGGCCCACCATTGTAATGCCCTTATCCTTCTAACCTTATCCTTCTGATCAGGCATGAAAGTATCAATTACAATATCTGACAAACGCATTATTCCGATTATAGAGATTATCTTCGAGCTCTACATATATTGATCTTGGTATTCTATTCAGAATGAAAAAAATGCATTAGAACTTCATGCATGTTATTATCTATTTGATTTGGGCTTCATGATCACTTCGATGACATATGGTAGATCTCGACATATCTATACTAAGCTATATCTTATCAAAGGCAACATGAATATTCTTCGAAACTTTTATTCCTTTCCAGTATTACGAAGGAAATAAAAACTAGAGGGTAGTTGCTGGACCATATTTTGTATCAAAGGAGAGAGCCCCACATCACATGGGTGTATCATAATAGGACCTATAATTCCTCTTCTCAAGGCAACACAAAACTGTCAGTTTTCTAGATTGACCAATTGGAGTCCAACACAATTTTTAATACCTGCAAAGAAACATATCTCAAAAAGGTATCAGCTCAAGGAATATGACATCTCCATGATAAGTAGCTCTTCACTTTATCTATAAAGATGGTTGAACACCCAAAGGTAGGGGGCCTCGAGTATGGGCACCTCAGCTCCATACTTCACACACACACCTTTTAGCATTTCTCTAACTTTACGCACTAGCCTATTCATGTGTTGATCGCAATACTGACTTAGACATCAGAGGGGCCTCCCCCTGGCTCAACATCGGGGGTCCCTCTAACCCCTCTCTGATTTTGCAACTCATGGATTTGGTAATATTCAAAGACCAGGGGTACAACTCAACACATTTCAGTGATTGTGCGAATTTTTGCCCGCACATGCTCCAAATTTGAATTTTGACGGAGCTACATAAGATCTTGTTTCATGGATTCTTTTTCCTTTTCACCCCTTTGCCTCAAAGAAATGTTGACATGAATGTGGCTTTCCTCCCTAGATAAAAACTGTTCTTTCTTTAGAAGATCCATATTCTAAAGAATAAAATATCTGATAGGAAGATGAAGATCCATGTCTCTTGGTTCAATTAGACAAGTTGGCAGTGATACTGAAACATGAAATAATATATGGTGGGGCTCTATTTTCATATCCCACAAATATCTATTCTTAGCCCATTAAATTTTTTATAATCAAACTAATTAGAGTAGGTGGAGAGTTAAAAGAGACCGTCACACTTGTCTATGCCAAGGATAATCGAAAGGGATAAGTAAGATAAGCAGATTGGATAGAAGGAACTTGAGCAGCCTGTTAACAAATAGACGAATACATTGGGCAGATGGTAGGTGAAAAATGCTTTCCACAACCAAAAAAATCATCCTTTACAGTGGAAAAGTAATCTGGATATTTATAGCACAATGTCTGGGCAAGTCGGGTTGGCCGAAGGGCTGTCCGCCGTGACCTCCTACCATTCGCGCGAATCTACAATTGCCTTGACCATGACGATACCAGCAGCTGTTAACCACAAGCCATGTGTCCCACNAGCAGATTGGATAGAAGGAACTTGAGCAGCCTGTTAACAAATAGACGAATACATTGGACAGATGGTAGGTGAAAAATGCTTTCAACAACCAAAAAAATCATCCTTTACAGTGGAAAAGTAATCTGGATATTTATAGCACAATGTCTGGGTAAGTCGGGTTGGCCGAAGGGCTGTCCGCCGTGACCTCCTACCATTCACGCGAATCTACAATTGCCTTGACCATGACGATACCAGCAGCTGTTAACCACAAGCCATGTGTCCCAACATTAGCTAAGCAGATGTGATAGTTACCCAAACGCAACCTAAACGTGGCTCCGAGGAATGTGCAACAGTCAAGGTAGTGGGCTCCGAAGGTCCACGACTGAAACTGGTCACCGCGGGACCATGACCTCGAGAGGACCATGTCCGTGATGCACCCAGTGCGATCCTGCCCGACGTCTTTTTCTTTCCCTTTCTGAACCCTTCCACGAGACTTTTGTCAAGCTGTCTGATAAAGGAAATCCACATAGTTTCGGTCCTTCAGCCATTAATCTACATGTCTCATCATCTCATATGGTGATCCGAACCAATAACTCCAGTTACTTTATGAGTCCCTCCGGATCCCAACCAAGCATATCCCAGTGAGCAATGAGCCATACACTGGGAGGCTTGCTCGAGAAGACTAAACTTTTGAGACCCTGCCCTAGGCCGAAGTTGACAATCGTGCTCGTCTGCCCTTGTTGTTTAGTTCTTCCTTGAGAAGAGCAATATTCCCCCACCCTCGTTGATGCAGTATTGCACCTGAGGGCGTCGCGCTTTGGGCGTCACAGCGTGGTTGTCGTGCCTGGGGGAGTCACACCTTGGGTGTCGCATTTGACACTTTTATCTATATCAGTCCAGTTAGACACTGTCGGGCTCCATGTCCATGTCAATTGATGACTCGTGCCACTTGTCTTGTTATGGTGGAGACATATGTCTAAATTTATCGAGTACTACACCACCATTTCTGTACCCACTCTATTTTAATTAAATTCACTTCAAGCTATACATACCCCTTTAATAACAAGTTCATCTTCTATTTTCTCAAAATTAGGGTTTTATTCATTATCCCCTCTCATACATCCCACACGAAAGAGTTTTTTCAATATGAATTTTTCCAGTGAGATATATGTTAGAATTATTTTTTGGTTTAATTTTTTGTTTGATTTCATGTGTACTATGTGGATTTACATTATTATTATTATTATTTTGGTATTCTATGACGCTTAATAAGTTTTGATTTAGGGTTTATATGTTTGTGTTATCTCTTTATTTATACAAGTTTTTTACAATAAGAAGGAAAAACAAAGCACAGTAAATTCTTGTGTTAGTTACTAATAGTTATACATATAAATTATTCTCATTAGTATACTTAACAGATTTCTTTGATCCAATTTGTGTCCATTCATAGAGAAGTTAATATTGTCACCCACATAGCAACACAAGCTGCTGCTACTCCACCTGCTGCTCCTTTTGTTAATATAATGGAAGTTGTTTTAACAGAAGTTATAATAGACTTGGATAATGTATTGATATAGAAATTGATATGCTCATCTTACTTATCAATCTATATTAAAAAAGTTCTATTATCTAGGGTGTATGATAAAAGATAGTGAATTAAACCTTAGTTATGAGAAGTTAGAAGGTGGGGGTCAATTCTGAGTACTACTTCCCCTTCTGCTTAGGTAGAGAATAAAATTTCCGAGGACCAAAAAACATAAAATAAAAAATAAACAAAAAGAACTTGTCTTACCCGGGGACAACAGGATATTTTGTTCCACCCCAGTCATCCTTGATCCTGTGAAAGTCTGTGTGACAGATGCCACAATAAAGTACTTTAAATCTTATATCCTCCTCTCCCGTTGCCCTACATAGATATATATTGCATGCCCAAACATTGTCAGCATAGCTATATTTGATTCAGCTTCATCATAGAAGAAGCAAGCATGAAAAAACTTTAAAGAGAACAAATAATTAAGTACAATTTCTTTGTCCAAACAACACAGCATTGATACAGAAGTACAAACACTTGAGCAGCAATTTGGATTTACTTCGTTACACTTTCTATGTGTTTAACCAGAACCCACCATATATAACACTAGATAAATATGGCCAAAGTCAAGTAAAGAGAGAGATTAGAGGCAAATAAATGTAGCACAGCCAAAAACTGTTTGAGGCAAATGAACCGACACAAATTTTCTCTATTTTGCTCCGTGGATTCAGAGTGTTCCTGTGAAAGTGTTTTTATTTTTCTCTATTTTCTCAATACATAAAAAAAATCATAGTGTTCCTTGTTCCATTGCATCAACTATACAGCCCAAATGTTAATAGCAAAATGTCTCAATAAATCAAAAGCAACACTAGAAATTATTTCAATCAAAGGAAAAAAAAAAACAAGAATAAATCAGAATAAAACACCTTCAGGAGAAATTGAAGGGAGAGAAGACTCCAGACGTTTCTCTGGCTGCCCATCCAAAGGTGTTCACTGGGTGTTCTTCTTCGGGTGTTATCCCCATCATCAACCACCCATTTTGTCTAATTAAAAATAGATCTCAATTGGTTGTCTCGATATACATAAAATATGTATTGACATACATATACACACAGCACAGGTTGGGTGGCCAAACATAAAAACCCATGAATCAATTTTTTTGAACCAAAAACTATCGCAAATCAAATCATTTGCCAAATATTATTTTAAAAAAATATATATTCAAAAATTTTTCACCAAAACATTTTTCGACTAACAACCTTAGAGAATCTACCCAAAATTTACCAACAAATATCCAAAAAAAACATTAGCCACCCAAATTAACCAAATGTAGAAAGTGAAATGAAATTGGGGAACAACATATAACTATTTGCAAGTTATTTCACAATATCTTAATCCAAAGTCCTCACAAAAAGAATTCTAATTTGTGCCTCAGAGAGATATTATTGTTTGAAAGAAGGCAATTTAATTTCATCATACTATATTTATTCTCTTTGCTCCTTTTTTTTTTGGTACTGTAGGATTTCACTTTATTCGGAGGTGCTGGATCTACTTTAGCTAGTTGTTAATTTATGATTGGATTAGTGTAATCGTTACAACGAATAATTTCTCGAACAGAAGAACACAATCTGTACAACGATCGACTAAAATCACAGAGAAGTTGTATACAACTAAATGCATATTTTCTAAAGAAGAATTTAGAGCTTCACGATCACCGTTCTATAATGAGAGACAAAACATCGAAGTGAAGTCACTCAGGGCATAGTTATAACCTACGCTCACAGAGAGATTCGAGGAAATACCTTCTGGAGAATTTCAAGGGTGAGAGTACACCAGATGAGTCTCTAGCTGCCCATCCGAAGGTCGGCACAGGGTGCTCCTCTTCTGGTGATTTTGCAGCCATTTTTGTACGAATATAGCATCCAATTGCATATTAAATTGATATTCTGCTTTATTATATAAAAAATTAGATAATTGAAAAATAACATGCGTAAAAATGAAAAATGAAAAATGAAAATAGAAAGATATATGTGTGATAAAAATCAAAAGAATAAGATAAGCAAAGAGTGTATTGGTTTAATGGTAAAATGATATTTTTTATCTTTTAAAAGATTTGTCTTCTTGATGTCAAGAGTTCAAGTCCCGCTCCCCTTTCCCCTTTCCCCCCCAAAAAAAAAAAAATTTGGTAAAATTATAATAATCAACAAGAAATAACTTAAGATATAATTTATATAGAAGATTGAATATTCATATAAATGACTAATAATTTTCTAAGAGTCTGATGTGATTCTTATTCACAATAATATGAGTATAAGAGGTAGTTAGTGATAAAGTCGAAATTAAATTTGAACGGAAAAAATAAAAAGAAATGGTAGACTTAAAATTTAGAAAAAAAAAGGGGCAGAATTATAATCAGACCCTATGAGGTTTGTCATTTAATCACTCAGATTTCCTGACATTTGAAATATTACATACAAATCTCCTGAAGTTTGCATACACGTAACACATACAAATTTCCTGAAGTTTGCATACACGTAACACTTTAATCCCTACCGTCAATGTCTACTAGTATATTCATTAATAAACTACATGCATGCTCCTTGAAATTTGTATGCGTATAATATTTAGATCTCTCAAGTTTAAAATGTTATATTTAGATAAAAAAATATATTAATCATAGATAAAATATTAAATATTTTAAATTTTACAACAAATAATCATGTTATATTATGATATTTATTAAAATAAAAATTTAATTTTTTCTTAAAAAATCATAATTAATATATAATTTCAAAATGCGTATTGTGCATTACACTTTTTATTCTCCATATGACGTATAGTCATTCAATATGTATTGTTCATTATTAAAGACATTATTATGCTCAAGAGATGTTAACTTTCGTCCATTTGCAATTCCTACTGTGTATGTTACAAGTTAGAATATATAATATCGACACATACACACCAACATTCTATTATTCCTATTATTCTGCTTTCTGACTTGACTAATAGTTGATTCATAATCTTTTCTATTCATTCTTTGCATCTTTGGCAATCATCAACTTGACACCGGTATACCAATTGCTCTTCGTTTAGTACATAATTTGTCCGATTCATTAATGTGAAATGCTCACTCTCGCCGTATTTCAACATACTACTCTTTGAAGTTGTAAATTTTTCAATTTTGTAATCATCTGCTCTTTCAACAACCGGACCATTTGACGTGTGTGATTGTTTGAAACTATTGAGCCTCTCCATGCAGACATAGTTAGTGTATATGACATCATAAGGTGTCAACATTATAGTACACAATAAAATTTATATAAGTCAAAATTCCTATTTGTTATTCATTCTTTCATGCCGGTTGAATTATAATTTTAAAATTTATTGATTTTGAATGTGATTACTAACATTTGAGATATATTGAAATTTTATTTATACTAGCTATGCACCACGTGCGTTGCAAGTAAATAAATTTAAATAATGTTATTTTTAAAAAAAATATAAATTATATGTGCAATTAAATTAAATAATTAATTAGGTTCCGAATAATTAATCCATATTTTAATTATTGATTTATTCTATAAGGTTTTGAATATATAATCTGTCATTTATTTAAGTATCTCTCTGATCCCTATAAACATTTACACATCTAATTATATATTATAGAATTACTAATAATTGTCCGTACTTGAAGACACGGTGTTACTCGCAAATTAGTAACACTGAAATATAATAATTCAAATATCTGAAAAATTATGTTATAACCACCGAAACATAATAATTCAAATAGTTGAAAAAATATATTAGTTGACAATATTTAATGTTCTATTTTTGATTCAAAATCGACGATTTCTACATTCATAATCAATTTTATCTAAATAATAACAAAATTCATAACTAATAGAATGAAAATTAAAACAATACTCCCACAAATAAACTAAGTCTGCAGATATTGTCAAATGACCAAATATAATTACCAGAAATTCAATCGACTTCTAAAATATATGACCTAAAAAAAAAATTACAATTAGGTGTTTATTTATTCTCTAAAAACATACATTTTTTCTTTTATCCACATTTAAATAATAAAAACATAGAGAAATAATGTTTACCTAAAAAATATTGCTTCATCTGTGGAGGTCTTGTTCATAATAGGTTCAGTTGAGCCTCCACGTCTTCTAACGCTCGTGAACAGAGTATGTCTTCTTCGATATTTGCTAATGTCTCCTCCAATTCCATCATATCTATAAAGTCATTCTCAAACTTCTTATTGATTTCGTCAATTGACCACGTAGATGGAAGCGTGTTAACAACATCATATAACATAATTGGATTATTCGACATAAAACTTTCTTGTTGCAGTTTATAAAATAATTGTTCTTTCTTTTTTATATGATCTAGAACATTCGTCTCTAGACCCATTTTTTCTTGCTCAAATTGTATCCATAATGGATGGATATCACGTTCCGCTTCCACCAATAATTGTACAAACTGTACTGCATTGGTTGGTTTGTCGTCTAAAAAAAATTTTTCCATTGCAGAATTCCAAGTTGTCGGAAGGGTCTCTATTATTTTATGCATAATATAATTATCACTTATATTTTTCCCTGTCATTTGTAACATACGACATAATTCAACCTTTTTCATCCCAAACTTCGAGATTGGGGTTCCATCTTCAAACGATTTATTTTCAAAATTTTCTTGTATGCCTGATAGAGCCACACGCGTACTATGACGTACAAATATTGGAAGTCGTTCCATTATATCTGTACATAATATAAAAGATACAAATTAAAATTGTAATAATCACATTAGCAATGGAGTAATAAACATTACAACAAACAAAATAATATTTTGTCACCCATGTGATTTAATAAAAATAATATAACACCAACATAAAAAATTGGAATAATGATTAGGAATTCGAAATTACAATAAAATCAAGACACCAACAAAATATACCAAACCATACATGAAATTCGTAGAATAATTATTCAAATCACCATCATATCATAATACTATCACTACAGACATAATAGTAATAATTGCAATCATGCAAATAATTAAGTATCAAGTTTATATTAAAAATTCTAGAATCAAACATGTGATCTATCTTCATGGAGATATAGTTAATAGATTAGCCTTCCAGTAGGTCTTTAAACTTTCTCTTCATCACTTTCCTGAATGTTCTTGTGTCAATACATATGCGAAACTGCAAGTTTGGAGAATGCACAACAACCTAGTTTTACATAAAGAAAGAAAACCAAACTTTAGTGATATATATTAGTTGTAAAAGAATAAATCTCGTTGCAACAGTATAAGAATCGGATTACATTATTACAATATCCCCATCGGTGAAGTCGCGCTATATTTATTCTTTTCATCGCTTTAGCCAATTTACACCAATCCTACAAATATGAATTATAATATAAAGTTATCGTGATTATTTTAATTCAATATGTATTCAATAGGAGCTATTTGTAAATAAATGGTACCATTTGTTTGCTATTGAATATGAAGTTCTATAATAGAACTTCAGGGTAAACGATGTTTGATGTGCAATTCGACACATTTTCAGGAAGAAGAACACATATACGATCAGAAGATGTGCATCTGGATAATGCCACATACAAATGTCCATGGCTAAACACCGGTGTGCGCAGATCAACCCCAACAAATTTTACAGACTGTCATTGAGATTTATTGATTGTCATAACATATGTTAATCGAACAGGAAATTGACGTCTCGTCATCTGAAAAGGCAATTCTTAAGATGTTGGTGACAAAGATATTCTTGGATATTTATCATCATTTAAAATTTGAGCTTCAATCACACGCGTGGTACATCTAACAACCATCAATCGCGTGTCATTACAAAGCCCTTCCTTCGACGCTATATTTCTCAGCAACTTTATTGGGCTATCCACTTTCAAATCTAATTTAAACGGCGATAACCCAGCAGGGTTTAGAGAGTTTAAATACTCATTAGGATATCGATTAGTGATCGATCGATCAAGTTTATCACCCTCTTCCATTTTGTCAGCTGCTAAATATGTAATTATCTATCTCGGTGAAATATTCATTGTTGCGGCATTTATAGCATTCACGTCGTCATTCCTTGCAGAAAGAATTGTGCGCTCGGTTAGGAAGTCTGGGATAACTGAACCAACCATATCTAAATGTGGATAAATTCTAAATATTAATTCTCGAAGAGTATAACACTTTTGTATTGTTGATGGAAGTTGTACGATTTCTTGTGGGTTTGTTCCTATCTAAAAATTAGAAGTGAAATTAGAGAAGATAAATTGATAATAATTACAAAAAATAATATTTTATATTCTGATTGATCAATGGAATATTACCTCCATCAAGAATTTTACAAATTCAACATTTTCAGAATTTGTGTTAGTTAAGCGCATGTTTAACCCCAAAGTCAAAGCTTGTACATCCCTCCACAATACAGATCGCCTCAATGACGCACCTACAATTTGCTCGCAAACTCTTTTCGGTATAACTGTCAAGATTTTTCAAAAGTCTCCACCTAGAATAACTGTAATACTCTTGAATGGCTTTTGGTTATCACAAAGATCCTGAAGTGTACAATTTACTGCCTCAACACAATACCTATATTGCATAGGTACTTCATCCCATATTATTAGTTTAGTCGATCTGAATAATTCTGCATGCATCGATTGTTTGGTAAACCCACAAATTGAATTTTCAAGCACATCCAAGGGAATGCAAAATGTTGAATGTGTTGTGCGGCCCCCCATTAATAATAAAGATGCAATATCGGAAGAAGCCACAGTAACGACGATATATCCAGAGCTGCGCAATTGTTTAGCAACTGTATTATACACAAACGTTTTTTCCGTGCCGGCGCCCCCATTCAAGAAAAAA